ATATATATATATATATATATATCCGTCTCCTATCTCATCCCTCTAACCTCCCCATTAGAGATAGGCAGTATCTTGTATTTGGTGTTTACCTTTCCCAAATGTATGTATTTTACAATGTAAATGGGATTATGTTATATGTGGTTTTTATATGTATAGTGACCTGATTTTCCTTCAGTCAAAACTAGTGTAATTATGACTCCAATTAATATGCATAGCTTGACAATGTAGAATTACATTGTATGCTTATTCGTATTTATTTAACCAATCCCTTTTTAATAGATACTTAGATTGCTTATTGTTTTTCAGTGTTATCAGCCTTGAATATTCTTGTACAAATATCTTTGCGCGTTTGTGCAATTATAGAGGATAAATTTCTAGTTAGACTTGCTGGGGCAAAGTGAACACGTATTTTAGAATTTTATTATGTCCTTTTCTCATTTTTCTACTGGGTCACGATAGTTAAATACATAAATACATTTTCTTAATAAATTTGCCTGTTTTGAGACCACTTTTGAATGAACTCTGGCAGAAGTACTGAACCTGGGAAATGGCACTTACCGTGCATTGTACCAAATAATGTATTACCTGATTTGCTTATAACCACTGTCTTTTGGGGTAGAGTTAGTCCCATGCAAGAGTGGCTTCAGAAAGGTTTTGTAACTTGCCGCCAAGAGTACCGATGTGGCAGCAGCAGGAACAGCAGTAGGAGCGGTCATGATATTTAGAGATCACATTTCTTTAGCACTCACCATATTCTGCCGTATTAAGTGCTTTACATGTATCACTTCGTTTACTCTTCACAACAAACCAAAAAAAATGCTATTATTCATTTTGTAGAGGAAGGAAATGAGATGGAACCGACTGTGTCCATGTTTTCAAACAGAACCTATATTAAGTTAGGCCCAAACAATTGAATAAGAATTTAAGTCCTGAACACTTAGCAGCCATTTGAAAAAAATGAAACTCATAAAGTAGGTGGAAGAATTTATTTCATTGTTAACTAACTGCAGTTGCTTACAAATGGAAAGTATGTACATGTTAGTCTCAAACCTTGGAATCCGACGAAACCACCACCCTGCTTCATCTTCTGCTTCTCATTGATTTTCTGGAGATACTTGTTTTTTCAAGGAACTGCCAAAAATTGAGCTTCACTAAGATGTCATTGGAAGGAATGTGGGAAACCATAAACTACCTTAGACTAGTACTTTGTGTGGTGTTCAACAGATGTCAGGTATTGCTGTGTTTCCATACAATTTTAAATACCCTGCCAGTGCCCTGTTAGTTCATTGCAGCACCCCTAGTTCCTTGGCATACAATTTAGGCACCACTGGCTTAGCCACTTTGACCCCAGATCCGCAGGGCTTGCACAGCTCACTGTCATAGTTCCGTGCTCTGCTTTCTCTGGCTGTGCAGTACATGCTTGTATGATAAATGTAGTAAATATAGTGCAAATCATCATCATTGGGAATAATGAAGATTTGCAAAAAACTTCTCAGGTACTCCTGACAATCTACATTTATACCTATAAAATTAAAATCTTGAGGGATGGACATAAACATTCATTTAATTACAGTATAAAATGATGCTGTGTTGATAGATAATACTGTTAATAATAATTTTATTTCATTAAATAGTTAAAGTTATATGAATCTCCTCTAAATATTTCTGTGATATTCCCTTCTATTTTTCTACTCTGATAAGGATGTTTTGCTGTGTTCATCTCTTTTAGTGGAAAAAGACGGAAACCATCATACGAAAGAGACTCACTTCAATAATTTGTATAGTATGGTACATTACTGTGAAAATATAACAGAATGCAGGAGAATACAGCTTTTGGCTTACTTTGGTGAAATTGGATTTAATCCTGATTTTTGTAAGAAATACCCAGATGTTTCTTGTGATAACTGCTGTAAAACAAAGGTAAAAAAAGAAAGTTTTAAATTCTTTGTAAAGGAAATGCCAAGTTTTTTTTATTCTCTTAGTTTACAAAAGTTAGATGACAGTAGTGGGCCCCAAGGGATTAAACAAAGGAAAGATGGCTTCCTCCCCAAAGTAATTTGGAATGGAAACATTTTAAGATTAATTCTATGGACTATCTTTAGAATTAGAAGCCCATGAAAAAATATACTTGACCTAACCAAAATGCTGAGGTTATATATATGTGCATTGATGATTATAGGATAGTTTAGAAATACCATTAATCTGTAAATATTAAAAAAAAAATCTAATATGGACAGGTAGAATATTTTCAATTCAACTCTATGTTTAAAGATATCACTCTCAAAAGAGTTATAGTAACTGGTGTGCTGTATATTTGGATTGAGATCAACTAGATTATAAATTACGTTTTTAAAAAACTGTGAAGAATAATGACAGTAGCTTCTGGATGAATTTACTATCATCTGTCCTAAAAACAACCTTAGGGGGTTGTTAAACTCAGTCATTGGCACTTATTGTACCTATTATGGTAATTTTATGTTTTAATGTCTACTGTACTTTATAGTTTACAGAGCATTTTCACATTTGATAATATTATTTGAAATGCCTATGTAAGGTGCTCGGGATTCACAAGTGAATGTGGTGTTGGCCAATTCGTAGACTGGAGGGGCGACAGACATAAGTATTCATATCATTGTAATATCGTGTGATCAGTGCATTTACAAAGACACGCAGCGCTAGGCAGAACAGAGGCAACTTTCTCTTAGGGTGGAATCTGTGGGTGTGTGGCCATCTCCACTCACTGCACCCCACTCTAGACATTGCCACCCAGGCCACTCATTCAACAAATATTTATTGAGTGCCTGCTGTGTGACAGGCACTGTCCTAGGAGTTTAGGATACATCACTGAGCAAAATATAAAGATCCCTGCACTTGAGGAGCTTACATTCTAGCAGAGGGAGGCTGAGTACAAACAATATACATAATAAGCACATGTTAAGGGGTAAGAACTGTAGTGAAAAGCACCACAGTATAATGGATGGGATGCAGGATGCAGTCAGTATTCAGTAAGGTGGTCCAGGGAAGTTCTATTGCAAAGATGACACCTGAGCAAGACCTTGAAGAAGAGAGTTAGCTGAGCAGCTCCCTGGATATGGGCATTCTTGACGAAAGCCAAGAACAAAAGCCCTAAGGTTGGGAGGACATGCCTGTGTGTTTGAGGGACAGCAAGGGAGTCTGTGTGGCTGAGCTACAAGTTCCTTAGGGGAAGGGTAATGGCAGGCCTGAGTCACTGGAAGAATGGAGTAACCCTCAGACAAAACATTCAGGGAAGGTGTCTAGCAGGGAAGATCAGGAGTTCATTTTGGAGCATATTGAGTTAGATAATGTCTGTTAGATCCAGGAATTCTGAAAAGAGGTGGGTTGTGCATATAAATTTGGGATTGGTTAGCTTATAGATGGTATTTAAAGCCATGAAAGTAGATGAAGTCTTCAGGGTTACAAATTTAGGCAACAGGACAGAAAACCAAAGATAGCTCAGGGACATTAAGAGATTGAGGAAAAGAGAACTAGGAAAGGAGACCAAGAAAGAACTAGTAAGAGGAAAACTAAGTGTTTCAGGGAGGAGGGAGTGCTAACTAGGCAAATGCCGCTGCTAAGTCAAGTACAATGAGGACTGAGCATTCACCATTGGATTTAGCGCTGCGGGAATCATGGCGATTTTGACTTGGCCGGCTTCAGTAGAGTGGGGCAAAATTGGAGTCAGTGAATATGTAGAATTCTTTCAAGTTTTGCTTCAAGGATGAACAGAAATGAAACAGTATCTGGCAGGGAAGTGGAGTCAAGAAAAGACAGGAGAAATAAACATTTCAGATACGGATAGGAACGTACCAACAGAGGATGAAAAATTGTGTAAGAAGGGAGAGCTGCAGAAGCAATGTTCTTGAGTAGGCCGAGGGGTTGGCACATAGTATATAGGGAGATGGGCTTACCTGGATAGTTCATCTAATAACAGGAGGAACAATGAGAAAATGTGGGGCAGATGCTGATGGTAAAGGAAGTTTGAAATCTCTCCTCAGTGCTTCAGTTTTCTCAATGAAGTAGGAAACAAGGTCGTCAGTGACAGGATAAGAGAAGGGATTCAACAGAAAAGAGAAAATGGGCAGTAGTCACCCAGGACAGGGACCAGCAGGCTTTATCTTAAATGGCCAGAGAGTGACTATCTTAAGCTCTTGGGCCTTTGAGTCACAATCTCTGTCACAGCTACTACTTAACTCTGCCATTTTAGCTCAAAAGCAGACATAATAAATACATCAATTTTTCCATGGCTGTGTTCCAGTCAAAATTGATTTACAAAAACAGGCACACAGCTCATGGGCCATAGTTTGATGACTCTTGTTCTAAGAGAATGGGGGAGTGCTAGAATAAGGATATGTGATGATTACCCGGCAGCATTAAGGGTCCACTTGAGGTTTGTGGCCATGTATTGAGAGTACCAACAGCCAACATGGTTGTGTGTGTTTCTCTAGCCCAGGGGTCGGCAAACTGCGGCTCGCAAGCCACGTGCGGCTCTTTGGGTACGTACATGTGGCTCTGAAGTAAAATAGAAAATGAAAATAAAACTATCATACTTTCATTTATAAAATTTTTAAAGGATATTATTCACATAGTGGTGATTTTATTTGTTTTATGGCTCTCAAATAATTTTTAAATTGTTGTGAGGGACAGGATTGGCTCTCCTGTCTCAAAAGTTTGCCGAGCCCTGCTCTAGCCGATCTCAGCTACAGAGGTACAGGCCTGGATGGTGGAGAGCTGCATCTAGTGTGTTTTGTCAGGCAGTGTGATAAAGTGACCTAAGTGCAAGAGAGTTGAAGGTATATTAAAAGTAGTAGTATAATGATTGGCGATGGAATTCAAACTGAGTTAGGTGAACACCTGAGGCAGTCCCAGTGGATTGATTGTTGGAGTCAGAATACTAGATGGTTGGAAAGGTAGGAGGTGGTGGGCAGAGAGTGAAAGGTTGCTGTTACTAATTAGGCTAAAGTAGTAGGTGTGACCGTTGAGTGACAGGCGGATGTATTTGGAAGACAGGATCACTGGAGCAAAGGAGATCAAGATGCTGAAGGTGAAGGTTTGGGAGGATCATCTCTGTGTACTAAGTCACCAAGAAATAAGGCAGGAATGATGTTGGAGAGAGTGACATGGTATTCTTTCGTGATGATTCTAGATAGAGCCTCAGAATCTTACCAATTGTTTGTATAAGACCAGAAATCTATTAGTCTTCATTCAGGTTGGTGGCACTGACTAGAAATAATAAAAAGGATTGACTGTTGTACCAAAAACCCAAAAGAGATTAGCACTCTTTTCATCCAGTAAGTGCAAGAGCGCTGTTCTAGGAGGTATGAAGGTTGTTTTTTTGTAAAGAATATTCTTTTTTCTTTTTATTTTTTTAAAAGATTTTATTGGGGAATTGGGGGGGAGTGGAACAGCATTGGGTAATCAGGGAAGGGGAACAAACAGGTAGACAAATTGCTGTTTTGTTCTTCAGTCTAGTTGTGGAGGACGTCGCTTCACTGGCCCATGTTAGTATGATCATTGTGCTCTTCCTGGGTGAGGCAATCGGTCGCCGGTCATTGGTCGGCCGCTCACAGTGGCTCCCGGTAGTTCACACCGGCTACCAGCCGCTTACGCTGGCTGCCAGCCACTCATGTAGCTCACGGCAGCCCACTGCAGGCAGCACTGCTGCAGCCTACGCCATCGCCGGTGACTCACAGCTGCCCAGCTCCAGGTCGAGCTGTTGTTCATCATCTTAGCTGTAGAGGGCAAGCGTCACTGGCCCTCAATATGGGATCCGAACTGCGGCCCTGCTGTTCAGAGCTGGTGCTCCCAAGCGAGCTTTTAACCAGCTAAGCCACTCGGCCGGCCCTTAAAGAATATTCTTACCTGTAGAGTACTATCAGATAATTGAAAGACAAGATGTATGTCTGTGAAACAGTACTAAAATAGTTATAGTAGAGTGCTAATTGTTTTAGACACAAAGTTAATATAGGAACTTAGAAAAGAATGGACATTTGAAACTTCCTTGGTTTTTGATCTGGAAATGATTAATTATGAGACCACTGCAGTTAGTATTAAACCCTAGCAATCTAGGTATCATTATCTTTAATTATAGCAGAAGGTAATCTCTTCCTTGTTCATAGGATTATAAGACACGAGATGTGACTGATGATGTAAAAAATATTGTAAGATTTGTTCAAGAGCAAAGTTCATCTCAAGGAACGAGATATATGAAACATGCAGGTCCTTGTGGGAGATTGACTATGAATATGTTGGTCGACATTTTCTTGGGTAAGTCATCTGTTTTATTAGTTTGGGTTATATCAGTTGAAATTGAACATCTAAAGACTTCATTATAAGTACATACAAAAAATCTCTTGTCTATTTTCTTACAGAATTCCAGGGTTTCAGAATAAAACCTTTCAGTATAACAAAAAACTCAGTTTTTATGAATTATGCCAATTATTTTTATAGAATTTATGTAAGTCGTTAAGATGAGTTCTCACATACAAAAAAGAAAATAGTAAAGTTTATACAATTCCATCTAACTGAGTGGAGTATAACTTGCTTAGAGAATTATCCATTGACTGACTTTCAGTTCAAGATGGCAGCCTGAGTATAAGTATCTGTCTTTTTTTGCTTGAGGCCCTGTTAAAATAATAGTATGGAAATAAAATGAGTAATTAAATCCATAATGGCATAGAGAACCAGACAGAGACCATCATCAGATTAGAGGTTTTAAAAAATCTTTTAGGAAAGGAATGGAAGCATGTTGACAAATTGAATGCAAGGTAATGAACCACAGTGCACAATAAATATAGAAGAGAGTTATCGCAGAGGAGGGATTATTAACTAGGAAAACCTTGTTACCAGTAGGCCTAGAGGCCCAGAGAGTGGGAGTGAAAGCATAGGCGCCAAAAGTAGGAGAGGGCAGTTAAAAGAGTCTGCCCACAAAAGAACTGCATCGAGGACCACCAGCCTGGCATTGATTCTGAAACAAAAGTAAATAAACTGAGGACTAGAAAGGCAGCTGTGTTAGGGGCCAGAGCCCAGAAGTGGCATTTTAGGGGCACCCAGCCCACCTCAAGTCTGGTCCCACCTACTTATTCTACAGCAAACCTGATAACTGGATATCCCCAGTCAGAGGAGGAATTTGGAGGGAAATAGACCTAAGTGTAAAATAACGAGGAAATCCACCTAAAAAGTTTAACCTGGTCCCTGAAGGTTATATATAAATGGACAATCAAGAGAAAGAGCAGGGCCCGACTGAGTGGCTCAGTTGGTTAAGAGCTCGCTCAAGAGTGCGAGCTCTGAGCAACTAGCGGTTCGATTCCCGGCCCGAGCTGAGCTGCCGCTGAGCTGCCAACAGGTGGCAGGATGGCTCAGCTTAAAAAAAAAAAAAGAGAGAGAGGGAGCAAACAGGGGTGCTGGCCGAGTGGCTCAGTTGGTTAAGAGCGTGAGCTCTGAGCTACAGGGTCGCTGGTTTGATTGCCACATGGGCCAGTGAGCTGCACCTGAGCTGAGCTGCCAACAGGTGGCAGGATGGCTTAGCTGGTGAGAGCACGTGTGCCTAACAAAGTTTGCGGTTCAACTCCCGCATAGGATGGTGGGCTACAACCACCCACAACTAAGATTGGACATGGCACCTTCAGCTGAGCTGCCCTGAGCTGCCGACGGGTGGCTGGATGGCGACTGGACTTGGAGCTGAGCTAACTGCACCCTCCACAACTAAGATTGAAGGACAATAACTTGGCTGTTCCCCTTCCCCAATTCCCCAATAAAATCTTTGAAAAAGAGAGAGAAAGCAAATGAGTAGAGTATCTGACCCTGGGGATAGAGATAACTTAGAAAATAGGCGATAACTTTGGGGGAGAAGGGAGAGGAAACTCCTACTTGGTATCTGCACAAAGATTTAAATAATAATAATAGAATGTTATGGAAAAGGAAAAAATGAATGAGAAAGAACTATTAAAAATTTTAAATGATTGACAAAGTAAATTTAGTGGAAAGACTGGAAGATAAAGTCTAAGAAATCTTCTAAGACCTAACCCAAAAATATATGGAAAATAGGAGAGAAAAAAATACGGAAGATCAATTCTTTTTTTTTTTTTAAGATTTTTTTTTTTATTAGGGAATTGGGGGATGGGAACAGTGCTGGGGAATTGGGGGAAGGGAAACAGACAAGTTGCTGTCGTTTTGTTCTTCAGTCTAGTTGTGGAAGACGTTGCTTCACTGGCCCAAGTTGGCACCATCATTGCGCTCTTCCCGGGTGAGGCAGATCAGTCGCCGGCTTCTGGACGGCCGCTCACGGCGGCTGCTTGCCGCTCACGCTGGCTGTTGGCTACATACGGTAGCCCATGGCAACCCACTGCCACAGGGGCTGCAGTCTATGCCGTCGCTGGCGACTCACAGCAGTCCAGCTCTAGGTTGAGCTGTTGTTCAGCATCTTCACTGTGGAGGGCAGTGTCACTGGCCCTCATATGTGGGATCCAAACCGGGGCCCTCTGGCGTCCCAAGCCAGTTCTTAACCATCGCGCCACTCGGCCGGCCCGGAAGATCAATTCTTAGATGTAAAATCTGACAAATAAAATTTTTGAAATAGAAAATAGAAGGAATTATGAAACCAATGATAAAAGAAAATTCCCCAGAGTGGAAGAGAAAAAAGCCTTCAGATTAAAATGCCCACTGAATGCCAAATCAGATACATTATAAGATGAGATTTAAGAATATCAAGATATTGGGGAAGGAAAACTTCCTCTATCTACGCTTTTCTATTTAGTACTTGAGGGCCTGCAAATTAAACTGACAAAAGACATATTTAGTCATGTATATAAAGGTGTTTACAGGAAAATATAACTCAAAGGGGCAGTTAGACTTTGGGGCTTATATACCACCTTAATAAAGGGAAAGGAGGGAGAAAAGGACACTTACAGGAAAGCAAATGATTTTTTAGAAAGATAAATGGGCCCTTTGGAGAATAGATGGGAGGGAGATATGATAGTCTTTGTGACAGTGCCTATTTAGGTGTGATGTGGAGAAAAGTCAGTCTTCCCTGGTTGCTTACAAGGAGGGGATTTATGACAATTGAGTTGTGAGGGTCTATGCTTGCTGGAAGATAAGAGATTTCAGGAAATCAAATGCCTTCTGCTCAATAATTTTTATATCACAGTGGCATATCCTGGACCCTTTCAGAGATAATCCTGAAAGCGTTGGAAAGTATAAGCAGAAAGCAAAACCAAACTGTCATCAGATTAATATCAGCAGCCCTGGAGACTGGAAGGCAAAGAAAGTGAGTGCACATAATGATACCATAAACAGAGGAAGTGACAGATGGACCCAGTGAGAAGAAGTCCTAGAAACACAGCTATGCAGCAGGTCCAGTAAGCAGCCTGTGTAGATTGTAACAGGAAGTCAGGAAAAATGGGTCCAAAGCCATATAGAGAAAGAATAAGAAATGAAATTTTTTAGGGCCAGCTGAGTGGCTCAGTTGGTTAAGAACTCGCTCAAGAGTGCAACCTCTGAGTAACAGAGGTTCAATTCCCAGCCCAAGCTGAGTTGCTGCTGAGCTGCCAACAGGTGGCAGGATGGTTCAGCTAAAAAAAAGAAATGAAATCTTTTATTGTTGACAGTGAAAAACACAATTGTTAGGGCCGGCCGAGTGGCGCGATGGTTAAGAACTCGCTTGGGATGCCAGAGGGCCCCGGTTCGGATCCCACATATGAGGGCCAGTGACACTGCCCTCTACAGCTAAGATGCTGAACAACAGCTCAACCTGGAGCTGGGCTGCCGTGAGTCGCTGGCGACGGCGTAGGCTGCAGTCCCTGTGGCAGTGGGTTGCCATGGGTACCGTATATAGCCAGCAGCCAGCGTGAGCGGCCAGCAGCCAGCGTGAGCGGCCAGCAGCCGCAGTGAGCGGCGGTCCAGAAGCCAGCGACTGATCTGCCTCGCCCGGGAAGAGCGCAATGATGGTGCCAACTTGGGCCAGTGAAGCAACATCCTCCATAACTAGACTGATGAACAAAAACGACAGCAACTTGTCTGTTCCCCTTCCCCCAATTCCCCAGCACTGTTCCCATCCCCCCAATTCCCCAAAAAAAAAAAAAAAAACTTAAAAAAAAAAAAAAACAACAAAAAAACACAATTGTTACTTCTCAACCAAAAAAAAAGGAGAAAGGTTCTTAGAAACTCCAGGGAAAAGATTATATGAAAGAGCCAAGGTCAAATGTAAAATAAAGGAAATTGCTACACACTTTTGAGAATTGATAAAATCTACAAAAAAAATAATCCATTTGTCTGGATGCAGTAAACATCGTCCTTAGGGTTACCCCAGATGACATTCTTAGTGGGGAAGGAAACTTATCACAAACACTGTTGATTTAGCAACAACAGAGTCAATGTATAGACTTAAACATGGTTGGAGAACAGGATAGGATGTAGGTGTTAATCTTGATGATATAAAACTAAAAGTACAAAAGTAAAAATAAAAGAAGGGAGTACATAGAAGGTTTGGGACGCTAATCACCTACATAGTGGGGAGAGAGAGTGGTCAGTTCTATCTAAAGTTACAAAAATATTGGCTTGATGAACCAGTATAATATAACTAGCAAAATTTGGGTAAGGATAAAGTGAAGGGTGGCATAAGTGAGATAAAGTCTCATCTTTCATAGTGGGAGAGTCATTAGATAAATGGCAGGTGGTGACTGGCTAGTGGAATGATAGCAAGGGTTAGGGATCAGTGTGAAATAACCACAGAGATGAAAACAAAAGCTGTTTAAAAAGCGATTGCCTTGGAGAAGGGAAGTGAGACTGTGGAGGGCAAGGGTGGGACAGGAATGTTGCTTTTAATTATAAACCCTTCTGTAGTAGATTTAATTGTTTCCCATGTACATGTAGTACATTCATTAAATATATATAAAACAATGAGTTCATTTAAAAAGCAATATTAGCCTAGATTGAGGTAGGAAGGTGGTTTGCTCAGTTTCTCAGCTCTTTTTTGTCAATATGCTCATTCCTCAAAACAAAAGCTGCTTTTAGTGCTGGTTTTCCCGTTCTGGAATCTCACATTCTCCTAGTTTGGACCTTTTTCAGGGGGAATAATGGGTTGCAGATAAAATAATTTATTATAAGGGTGATACACGATCACTCTACATTGCAATATATAGAAAATCGAAAAATACAAATAACTCCAGAAAAAACTGCAAATATTTTCATGTGTTTGTTCACAATCACATATTTATCATCCTGTACTAGTAATTTATATAATTTTTTACCGTATTGGTGAAATGTATCTAATTTTTATTTTAGGACTTTTTTTTTATTATAAGTAATGGTGTGTTAAATAACCTTTTAAATACACTTTCAATTACATCTCTGGTTGCACCTTTCATTTAGATTCCTAAAAAGATTACTAAATCAAACACTGTTCTGACATGTTCTTCAGTTTTTCACTAGCTTTTTTATGTTTTTAAGAAAATGATTTATGTTTCATTCAGCTTTCTTAGTTAAACCTCAGCCCTGGGTTGGTCCACATCACCCAGTTCACCAGCACCAGGGCAGCAGCCCTGATTGTGTAATGTGACATTTCGGGATATAAGTCACTGGAAGTAAGAAAAACGAACGTAAATCATTTAACTTACACGACCAGAAATAATTTGAAATTTGTAACAATGTAATTATTTGGAACTCTTAACATAGAGCTAAAGCTTTACACAATAACTTAATTCTGATTATAATCAGTGTCACAAGGTTTCTAAGTAGATTGTGGTAATAAAATCATGTTTAAGATGAAGACTAGTAATTATAGTAACTGGATGTGAAACCAAAGATCCAGCCCAGTGTGGTGCCCTCAGCCAGCAAGAGGAGAGAAGTGTGCAGTCTTGTGGAATGGTGTGCTTTTTTTTGTGAGGAGACAAAAAGTATGGACTTAAATACTTTGACTGAATAGTGATTTCAGTATAGGACCAGAGATAGTATTTATAAAATTGATTGTCAAAAATTTTTATAACTAGATCAATAATGGACAATTATCCTGATGGAGCTCAGTGATACGAAGCTATTAAAGTTTACATAAACTCTTTCTTTGATTTCTTTGCTCTAATATAATTTTATAAGCCGTAATAATGATAAACTTTATTTTGCTGTTGTTTTTGGTCAATACATGTTATAAAAAGATGGAGGAAAAGTATATACAACCATAGAAATTTTAGAGTTCACTCAAATATTCTCATTTTATGGAAATAAGTGTGCCACAGGTTTTCCTGTGGAATATGTTTTCTATTCCATTTATCCAGACCTGCCAATGACTTTTTCAGCCTCTTCTGTTAGAGGGTTATGATGTTATGACATTTACTAATCTAACTTCTTAACACCTTCTCACCAGGGAGTAAGAGTGCAAAGATTCAGTCAGGGATATATGGAAAGGGGTCTAAGTACTCACGACACAATGCTGAAAGACTTTTTAAAAAGCTGATACTTGACAAGATCTTGGATGAAGACTTATATATCAATGCCAATGACCAAGCAATTGCCTACGTGATGCCCGGACGTGAAGCCCAAACTGTACTAAATGGGCGTTTAAAGGTATGGTATTTAAAACGTTTATTTCATTTTATTATTTCACAAGGAGTGGACAGAAACATATTACTACAAATTAAACTGTCTTTTCCAAAGCTTATGGATAGTGAATTGATTTATACTGTCCTATATGAACATACTCTGTTCCTCTTGATTTGGAAAGAGATCTTAAAATTGAACCCAAGTGATGTAATACTTGTCTAAATGAATTTAATGGGTTATAATTCCACTAAATTGTCATACATTTACTAAATAAACATTTATCAAGAAGCTGTTCTGTGCTAGGCCCTGGAGATACAAAGATGGAGAATGCCCAGACCCTGTTCCCAAGGGTCTTACAATCTACTTGGCATGACAGAAATACCCTGAATACATACATACATACATATATACATATATACATACAGTTAAACATTAAGTAAAGCCTCTGTTTGCATACAAGTGCGCACGTACCCACTCGTATGATCTTTCTCTCTCTCTCACAAAGGTAGACTTTATGGAAACGGAAAATTCCAGCAGTAGGAAAAAACAAGCCTTAGTGACGAAGGTATCTCAGAGAGAAGAGGTAGTTAAGAAGTGTCTTGGAGAACTTACAGCAGTCTGCAAATCTCTGGGAAAAGTTTTTGGTGTTCATTACTTTAATATCTTTAACACTGCCACTCTCAGGAAGCTTGCAGGTAGGTGTGTGTGAATCATCTGTTACGTGGCATAAATTTAGGCCTAAAGTTCATCTTGCTAAGGAATTTTTAAGTGCATAAACATATCTCGGTCTTTTGTGTTATTTTTATTTAATCTCTAAATTCAAAGCTCAGAGAAACAATTTAAACTTCTTTTTTTTTTTTTAAGATTTTTATTGGGGAATCGGGGAAGGGGAATAGACAAGTTGCTGTCCTTTTGTTCTTCAGTCTAGTTGTGGAGGATGTCGCTTTACTGGCCCATGCTGGTATTATCACTGTGCTTCTTCCCAGGTGAGGCAGTCTCCCGCTGGCCATTGGCCGGCTGCTTACGGCAGCTCACGAAAGTGCACGCCAGCTGCCGGCCAGCCCCACTGCAGCCTGTGCGGTCGCCGGCGACTTGCGGTCGCCAGCAACTCGCAGCAGCCCAGCTCCAGGTCGAGCTGTTGTTCACCATCTTAGCTGTAGAGGGCCCAGTGTAACTGGCCCTCATGTGGGATCCAAACTGGGGCCATGCTGCTCAGAGCTGGCATCCCAAGCCAACTCTTAACCAATGCGCCACTTGGCCAGCTCTACACTTATTCTTGAGAGAAAATATACTGTATAAGATATATACAGTACTTTATTATTCACACCGGTTTTATACTTTCCTCTAATGCTGGATATTAGAAAGTGGATAATTGCAATCTCTAACACCAGATGTCACCTAATGATGCTGTTTATTTCTTGCTTGCCTTTATGATGGTTAGCTATGTTAACATACAAATATCTGCAATGAGGAGCTAAGTACCTCATGAAAAGAAATTGTCTTATGCTTCTTTGAATCCGGATCTAGCACACTTCTAATGTCTTTAGTTGATAAAATACTTGCTGACCTGAGTGATTTCCATAGCTTCAGATAGCTCCAGCATTCTAATAGTAAGTTCCCTGGAAAGTAAGCTGTCACATGGCTGACTGACCAGTGTACATTACCTCCCATGTTCTTCCTTTATAACACCTCGTTATCATCACCGTCTCTCTTTTCCATCCCCATTCCTACCACTATAGGTCATTACAGTATACTTCATCAACTCTAAGATGCTATCTATTTGATGAACTATTAAGAAGGAAAAAAATTTTTATTAAACTGTTAATGCAGTACTTCTATTGAAAGAATTGTTTTGACTTATTTATATAGATATATTTTTATCATATATAACTGCCCATGCAGGAGAAAACATAAAATCAAAGTGAGTTGATTTAGGTACTTGTAAAAATTTACATTCAAAGCCTGACTCTTCCGAATCATGTTTTGACTCACTTGTCCGTGTCTTTGTTTTCCCTCATATCACCGAGAATGTTAGTGGTACAACCTTTTTAGTGTGTTCTACTATTTTCCCAGGTATTTTCATCAAAACCCTTGTCACCCATTCTGATTTGATGGTATTGTGTTCTTTACAGAACCAAAAAGTATCAACGGAAGGTTGCACATCTCAGTGACACAAATGTGACACTGCTTCATCCACTTGAGGCATCTCCTGTTTTAGGTTATATAAAGCACTGATTGTTGCTTGCAAAACACTATGGACTTGTGGTCATTTCCTCAAAAACAGATATTTATTAATGCCGAATTTATTCCCCGTTTCTGTTTCTGAGGTTTTGTGCATTCACAATCACGTTTTCAATGGTAATCACAGTCTAGTCTTTCTGTAGACACTTCACGTGTCGGTAAAACTCAACATGTGAGGAGGCAGCAGTGCAGTCATGCTGCCAACGTGCCGACAGTGCCACTTAGATGGCAGCAACTGCAGGACAGCTGCCATTCGGCCATCAGCACTTGTAAGACGCACCCTGTCCTCAGGAAAGTCAAGCCGTGAAAAAGCGTGTCTTAAAATTGATGAAATACAGTATTTCGTTCCTAGGCTATTAGTGTAGTTTCTTAACTGCTCTTAACTACAGATATGAACATGACACATTTTAATCTTTCAAAAACTCTGCTAAAATTCTAACAGCTTTCCAGATAAAGTACAAATTCTATCAAGGATCTGCCTTTCTACTAGCCTTTCCCACTTTATCTTCCACTAACCCCCTTCATAAACCTTCTAGTCTGTCCCACAGGCCTGTGCCTTTTCCTCTAAACATTGAAATGATGTGAAAAATCACAGATTTGAAATCCAGCCTTTGCTCAAGTCAAATACGTAGGAATTACGACTCACTCCCCATAGCCAGTGCACCAATGGCTCTTGCAGACCCAGCCCCCGAAGCATCCGAATCTATCTTCTCCTGACTCCACGGCGACGTCTAGTTCACTGTACCGCCCTCGCTTGCTCCTCTGTGGCTCCCACCGGGCTTCGAGTTTCTACTCTTTCCTTTATAGTGCATTTTCCAGACAGCAGCCAGAGTGATCTTTAAAATGACAGTCTTGTCCAGCTACAAGACTGATGTGCCATCTGTGTGCAGAGGACTCAGCGCCTTACCTGTTAAAGTTAGAATACTGGCTTCCCCCCACATGCAGAAAGACTGGCAGAAGAATGGGTTTGGGTATAAGAATTCAGTTATGGTCTTTTTTGGGTAGGATATACAAGTCTGGAGTGCAGGGGAGAAGTCAAAGCTGGAAATAGGAATATGGGTGTTCTCCGCAAACAGAGCAGGGGCTGGTTAAACTCCGAAGCACAGTGCACAGGTCCCCCCTCCAAATTCCCCTTTGTTCTTTGCTCTCCCCGTCCCTGCCCTGACTTTACATCCCTTTGCTGCTGGAACTGGATGATAGGCTCCTGCCCTCTGGGCCTGTCTGCTTTAAAAATTGGCCCACGTTCCTGGTACTCTGCTGTTAGTTGGCACTTAAAAAACATGCTGAATGGGTGAATGAGGATGAATTCAGTGGGTTTTCTATGGGTGGTAATTTAAATTCCTAATTTTATGTCCATGCACAGAGTCTTTATCTTATGATCCTGAGGTTTTGCTTCAAATTGATGGTGTTACTGAAGACAAACTGGAAAAATATGGTGCAGAAGTGATTCCAGTATTACAGAAATACTCGGAGTGGACATTGCCAGGTTCAGTATACAGCCAAATATGTGTTTTCTAATCGCCTGTTTTAATGTTAAGTGATGCATCTCACTGGACTAGAATTCTGTGGTTATTGGGTTGTGTCATGCTTCCTCCACCTTGTCACAATGACACTCAGGTGCTCAGGGCAGCCCTCAGTGGTGTGCCAGGCATCTCTTAGAGGACACTGATTCTTAGGCCCCATGGGATGCCAGTTACTGAACCTGCTAATAGGACCCAAACGAGGACCTTTGAGCCCAGGAGTTGCTGGCTCTGTTAAGGCAAATGGCCGAGGAATCAGGAGTGCTGGGTGCAGAGTCCAGGTCTGCCGCCATCTCGCTCTGTGGTCCTTGGCAGGCCACAAAGAACCTCTTTGTGCATCAGTTTCCTTATCTGCAGAAGGAATATGTTATCTGACAAGCATGTCTAAAGATAAAATTTCAGAGTGGTGTGTAGATATTTTGGAAAAATGAACATGGAATTGGAATGCAAGATAATCTTACTGTTAGTAGCAACTGAAAGAATCTGCCCGAGTGAGTGCATCATTAGCAGAAGTTCCCAGAGGTTACATTAGGCTTGTCACGAAGCACCTCTAATCACGAACCTCATCACTGAGCTGTAGAAAGCACTGACTAAGGGAAAATCAAGAACAAAGATGTTCTGGAAACAGGCCGAAAGCAGAAGACTATGGCCTCTAGCACACTGCCATGCAGTGAGACTCGACAGACAGGCCTAGCTCAATGCATTTCCTATTTCTGGAAAGGACCACAGCTTCTTCTCCAGGCTAACGGAGATGGTAAGCAGGCTGAGAAATGAGTGAGCATGTGTTTCAAGCTCTATCTGTTCATAATTGGTTTTTATCCATTAACAAAATGCCGAAAAGTAGGGTTTTCATAAATTCCTCTGTATAGTCAGAATCCCATTGAAGGCCTTGTTTTGACTACACCGACCATCTCTTGGTAGGAACATCATGTTTGTTTAGTATAGTAACTTGTTTGGAAGGAACTTTTCCACATGAGACAGGGCTGTTCTGTAGAAATAGCCAGTGTGGTTGTGATCTCTGCCACTGTTGAGAGATGGGTGCTGTGCCAAAAGCTTTCCCTATTTTGTACTACTCCATCCTCACAACACCCATTTCACAGGTGGAAATGGGTGAGGTCTTTTCATGTCCCCAGAGTCACACGGCTAGGATGACAGTGCTCTGTGCCCCAGCTGCAGTGCCTCCCTGTGTGAACCAGTGTTGGTGGGACAGGGCCCTTCGTGCCCTTGTCTGGGCAGCAGGGTAGCCTGACGGTGAACCAGCCGGGAAAAACCGTCCTTCAGAAAGTGGACCTGTAAGGAGGATTCACGTTCTTTGGGTGCCTCAGGATGCCAGTGCCTATGGAAATTACCACCTTTGCAAACGCATGCTTCGTGCAGACCCATTTCCCACACAGTATGTGAAATGTGCCCAGCCACTATGCAAAGAGGTATTTATGTCTTTGAAGAGTAAAATATGGTCTGGAATATCCTGACACTCATTTACTAAGTAACTTGTTCAAAGGTGAGGTGCAGAGCATAATTGTTATGTTTCTCTTATATTGGGTTATTGTTTCACATGGAAAGTGATAAAATTGTCTTATATAGCATGTTATGCTTTTCAAAGAGCCTAACAGGTTTAACTGCCAGACAATAACAGGGATGCCATACACAACAGAGTATGAGCTAAAGCTGAGGTCTCTAGTTAACTTAGAGTACCACAGATTTTTTAATGAATTCTGAACTGCTTTCTTTAAAAAATAAATTGCCACTGAGCACCTTGGGGCTTTGTGAAATGACCAAAGAAATGTGTAGTTCTTCTGGAATTGTCAAATCCATGTGGCAAGAAGATACCAGGAAAGCAGGTGGGTGTCAGCTGAACCGCTCCCCGTGTTGTGTGTCTCCATGTAGACTAACAACAATCTGGGACCAGCAGGGCATCACTGGTAAATGTCTGCATTATCCATTTGCAGCTGAGGACAGTTCCCCACAGATGAGCCCATCCAGCAGCAGAGGCACTGGGAGAAATGGCCCTGAGGAGTTTGATGAGGAAACACCCGTGTTGTCCTATTACTTTGCAAATAAAACCAAAAATGAAAGAAAGAGGAAAAGGATTCCAGGCCCCCAAAGGTCTAAAAGGAGAAAAACTGGTTTCGGTGATTTCAAAACAAATGCGTAAGTTCTGCAACCTGTTCTGCATTATGGGGTCTAAGGGAGAGAAGTATAGAAGTACAACCGCCCTGGTTTGCTTTGAAGCATTTATTAAAATAATTGCCTCTGCAATTAATGCTGTGATGATTAAGGTTTGATCCAAAACAAAAACATTTGTTTCAGATTTTTAAAATACCAACTCCTAAGCTAATTATCACTAAAATTTTCTGGTTTGCAAAAACTTCTCCAATTTTGAGCTTAACTGAGAAAAAAATTTTTTTTTATAGTTGCTCTTCTTAAGGGACTTTTTCACTTGAAATACTATAAATCATACACTAGCTGAATAAACAAAGGGATTTGTTTCCTCCCTTTTATGACTCTGTCAGTACTTGCTACCCTGCTTTTATTGCTGCAGAATCTGTGTGCCTCACCTGGAGGCCAAGCGCACTCCTCGCCTTTCATTAATACCTGGGAGAGCCAACCTCCCACCCTTTGCAGGGCAGCAGCGAGGAGGCCACAACAGGAAAACCAAAGGCCAGTCAAGCCAGGCCTCTAGGGGCTGTGTGAATGGCTTCTATCTTTCCTTTCCATTTGTGCCTGGCCCCTGGGCTGGGACGCGTCTGCTGTGGGACTCTGTCTGCACACCAAGGGGAAACAAAGGTAGCATTGTCAGGTCCTGGTGATGATCTGGGCAGCAGTCGTATTTCTTCCTAATTGCACTGTTTCTGGCAGGCCTTTTTCTGTCTTCTGCAAGGACATCCTGTGTCCTCGCCTTGTAGGTAAGGTCTGGCAGGATCGTGACCATCCCATCAGCCTGGAGAATATGGCACATTGTCACAGAAATACTTACAGAAAACGGGAAACAAGTCCTCAGTCAACTTCTTCAAGCTGTTGTTTTTCTTTTACAGTTTTTCTACCTCTTTTCCTTCTGGTTAATAAAAAGCAAAAATTGAGTGAGGCAAGAGAAGTGACGGCACATGTTACCAAATTGTCATTTTCTTGTTACGTTCATAAACAAACATCTTGTATGTGCTAATAATCCTTCTGCCAGGATACAGAAATTGAAGGCATTAGTAAATGTTAGTTTAATTTTGTGGTTTTTAATGCGCAAGTGACCAGCAGATGTTCTTCAGTGGGGACATGTTATTTTCTTCATGTATTCCTCCGTTTCGGGAAACACTCATTCCTTCAGGAGCCCACACAGCGTAGGAAACCTTACGCTGGGGGCATCCGGCCCAGCCTCCTGGGGTTTATGGCGAGAAGCTGAGGCCTGGCCTGGGGAAGGTTTGTGCGAGCCCGTCCCCAGCCTCAGTTTCACAGGCAGGACTGGACACTGGCTTGCCCATGCCTGCTCGGAGCACTTTCATTTCTGCCCGTTGTCCATGGAGATTCCTTAAAAACAATTATAATCTTCTCATTTTTACTTGTTAGAACAAAACGAACCATATTTTAGTGTTCACTGCCATTGGCTCCCTTACTCGGTTTTCACAGCTTTTGTTTACAAGAGTGAGGCACTCTGCCCTATGGCCTAGAACCTGATCTAATAAGAAGTAGGAAAGCTCACACTTGTCCAAAAGCCAGTCCCAATTTTCACGCTGGTTTTTAATTAGCCTGTGTGTTTCTGATAGGATTCTTCTCTAATCCCTACTGACTAAAACCAGTATGTTTTGTAACTTTATTTTACCCTTTTAACAGCTTTTTTGTATCCACGCCTCACTCTCTTCCTTTCCAATGAGCTAGTCTGATAGCTTCCCACAGTTTCCACTCTGCTCACCAGGGTGAGAGTCTCTGCACAGTGACAGAACACATGTGGCTCTTTCCCAGGGACCAAACCTTCCACCCTGCCCTCAAAGCTTTACCTTTTCAGAAAAACGCACAATGAACCAGTTGTGTTCAGGGCTCTCTAAGTGGGAGTAAAATGGATGGTGGGGTGAGATGGAGGCTGCTGTTGGCAGATTCATTCTGTAAATCAACATAAACAGCAGGTTTTTGCTTGGGGCTTAATTTCTCATTAGGAGATCAGCATAGGGACATCTAGGGCTTCTTCTCTGCCCGGTTAGCAGATCTTTGCATCCTGAGTAAAACTGCCCTGGAGCAAGCATTTACTGATGTTGAAAAACCACTCTTCACCTAGCCCCGCCAGAAGGTCCTCACCACAGGCTGGTGGACCCCACATTCAGAGACGGAAGGCCACTTGCCTGATTCAGTCTGGCTACAAAGCAGCAGGAAATACTTGTGAAGGAAAAGCCTTCTGTAGAGAATGCTGCCTGCCGTTATCCTTGTAAACATGCTGGCCCTGTGATTATTTATTTTTTTTTACGTTTCATTTTGCGGGGAGAAAAAAATCTAGCTGTTATCTTCAGGTCAGGGAGGGACGTGAGGTGCTGGAAGGATTTTGTAATAGGCTTCTTCTTCCCTGGTTTTAAAGCCAGTACGTGGGAGGTGCTAGCACACAGATCTGGGAGTGCAGGCAAGCCAGCGAGGTGCTGGCGACGTGGCAGTGACAGAGGGACAGAGCTGTGTCAGACCTGCCGCTTGCCGGCCTCCCCAGGGAGCCACATCTGCAGCCTTGCCCTGGCTGCGCTGGCAGGAAGAGGTTGGGCTCTGCTCCACCTGTCCCCACTCACCCAGCCACCTTTCTCTGGACTGCAGCACAGTGATTCCAGAGTATCTGTTGCCTGCGCATTTGGGGCCTTACCACAAGGTACTCGCTTTCTTTATTTGGTCAGATTACATCTGGGAATGTGGATCTGGGCTATGTTACCTGGATAATCGGCTGTGAAAAGCAGGGCTGGGGAGGGAGGTGCATGGGGTTCGGTCTCAAGTCACAGAATTCAGAAACAGTCCTTGCCATTCTAGGCAGACAGATTTATCTGAAGGGCAGCAGTCTTTTACTCCTTGTGTAAAGGAAACTGACCTGACCCCCAGGGGTGTTCCTAGGCAGAAAATAAATAGAGACTCTTAAGACCAAGGAAAATCATGGGATATACAGCTCCATCAGGTTAAGAGAAGACTGTTCACTTTGGGGGTTTTTTAACATTTCAATTTCCTTTGTCACTTTTTAGGAGGTCCACTGCACGCAGAAAGATATCTCCGAAAACCAAGTCCTCTGGCAGCTTTGGACCAAGTTCAACTGTGCCTGGTTCTCGAGCAGCATCAGGAGCCAGTAGAAAATTGGGGATCATGGCCCCACCAATGCCTGTAAATAGACCCTTCCTCAAGCCTTCATTTGCCTTCTCGTAACAACCACAGCTCAATGTACAGCAATCTTATTTCTTCTTTGTCGGCATCTGACCATCTGTGACTATAAAGCTGTTAGTTTCCTTATACCATTTGTAATTTTTACCCGTGTCTATTAATATTTAAATAAATGCTTGGGGTGACAGTTCTTATTTTTAAAATAAACATTTTCTTTTGAATAAGCATGATTTGCTGCCTCTGCAAGCCCGTGGCTGTTGTTTCTGAGAATGTCTGAAGCAGCAGCTGAATCATCTCAGTGAGAGAAATTCTCAGCACGATATGAAACAGAAGCTGAAGCAAAAGACACGCATGGGACTGTAAAAAAGACATGCACTATGAAACTGTAGAATTTTCTGTAGAAGACATAAAGAAAATTAGAAGAAAAACAAATGACAGAGAAAATAGGAATAATAAATGACAAAGGATTAATATTCGTAATATACAAAGAGTACCTATAAATCATTAAGAAAAAAAACAGCCCAGTAGAAAAAAGGATGTGAATAGGCTCTTCGCAGAAGAAGAAATAAAAATGGTCCAAAAACATGTGGAAAGTGCTCAATCTCCATAGTGAAAAATATAAATTGAAACAAGGAGATGCCCTTTTTTTGACTAGCAAATTGTCAACACTGAATAATATACCAAAATCTGGGATCAAGAGAATGGTCAGACATTCTATTGGTGAGAATATATTAAATGTTGGTGTAGAGTTTTAGTATTAGGGGACCTTACTTTTCAAGATCCTCTGTTAATAGGCTGACAGGCCAGAAAGTCTTAAAGTGGAATTTGGGCACCTCTTTTCGGAGCTCCATTACCTCATTTCTGGAGACATCTTGTTTCTTAGCTCTAAGTAACATTGGTGACCTGATTGGTTCCACTTCTTCCCTTGACCTCAGTCAAGAGGGTAGAGCTAAGGAGGCCCTGCCTGGGCCAGAGGTGTTGAGGACAGAGTTGACTGGAAGCCTGTGGTCTCTGCCTGCAGACTCAGCACTGAAGTGGACCCTGCACTCACCCTGAGAGGCCACCCGTGCTGCGTATACCTCCTGCCTGCCACCTGGGCTTTGGGCTCTGCATTTAATAGAGGAGGCTGGCTGGACAGGAGTCTGCTGAGGGCTGTGCACTGTTACCTCAAGATGCCTTCAGAGCCGCCATTTTCCAAGAAACCATCTTTCCAGCAAATCCTGACTTGAATGGCCAGAAGAACCTTCTCAGAGTGAGAGGAAATGGAGGACAAATTAGCCAGTAGTTGAGACTGCTGGGATAATGCCCCAGCATGAGGTCATCTTGCAGAGTTGCTGATACACAAGGGCACCTGGAGGTCATACCCTTCCACCTACAGCAGCTCTGGCTTTGAGGAGTGCAAGGCAGCCTCCATACAAAGCTGACACCACAAATGTTAGCTCGCTTCCTGCCTCTGACCTTATTCATTCATCCATTCCTTTACTGAGGACCTCATCTGCACAGATGCTGGAGATAGCTGTCCCCTCAGGAGTGCCCATTCTGCCACCAGGGGCTCCCTGTGAAACAGGGAAGACTGATGAAGGCAGCACAGTGGGCGCCCCCAGGAGGGAGTGCAGAGGCTGTGAGCAGCCAGCACTACCCACAGTCCTGTCACCCGCACCCTCCACCATAGCCATGAGGACAGAGCCAGCTCATCCCCTCCCAGCAGGAACCTGAGGCCTAGAGACCTTTGGCTAGTCCGGGGTCAGGTGGCAGAGCCAAGCCCCACATCCAGCTCTTAAGAATTATGGTTGGAACAGGCTCTTCAATTCCTCAGGCCCCGGGAGCAGACACAGAAAACAAGAGTGGCCTCCTCCTTCAGTTCAGCCTCCAGCTTTCCCAGAATCCCCGCCTACATGGGGCAATCTCAGGAGGATAGAAGCACATGGACTTGGCCTGAACCAAAACCAGAGCCTCTGGCAGCCAGAGAGATGGTGACTGCAAAGTTGCTTGCTCTAGGCTGGGCCCTGGTGAGGGCCTCCGTGGGCACAGAAGTCACCACTACCTAGGAGAAGGGGAGAGGACAATTCCACCAGGGAGTCCCCCGTCGCCGTCACCCTCTGGAGGGCCCTGGAAGGATTGGAATCTGACTCTCCAGCTGTCTACACCAACAAGAGAATGTGCCCAGAGAGCTGATAGGTCCTTGCTTTTACATCTAGGGACAGGGAACTCCACGCCTCACAGGAAGAGAAGAAACTTGGAGAGCCTACTCTGTGGCAAGGGCTGTTCCAGGAACTTCCACATAATTTACTCCTTTGATTCCTCTTAACAACCCTGGGAGGCAGGCATGTGATATGAGCCTTTTTTTATGCAGAAACCAGAATTCAGAGAGGTTATGTAACTGACCGAATCCACACAGCTGGGAAGCCGTAATAAGTAGGGTAACGCATCTCTGTTAGCCCTGAAGAGTCCCACTTTACAGCTGCTGCCCTGGTGTAATAGTTAAGACAGCGGCCTTTCATTCTCCAAAGTGCTCCAGTTTGGACAATAAATTACAAGAAATCCAGGTCTGTGCTCTTTCTCGACAATCCAGCCTCCTCTCCCTGCCTCATTTTTCCATCCAGAGCCCAAGGGACCACCTGCAGCCACCTGCTCAAAACTTCAGGCTCTGGGGCAGGCTCCAGGGACAGAAGTTGTAGAATTATCGGCCAGCACAGCTGAACTGTGGTTTTTCTCCAGAAGAGGAAGCAGAGGCTGTGGTCCAGGCCTCTTTGCACTTAAGAAATTGCTGCTTCTCCTACAGCTTGGAGCTGCTCTGAGCTCCCGAGCCCACTCTATCCTTGGGAGGCTCCCAGAGTCCCAGCCTAGGCTCTCCATTTCTGAGTGGTAGCCATGGAGCTCATCAAGCCCTGGGCTCCCACCCTGGCTGAGGCCTCTAGGCAAAGGACAGGGGCCTGTGGGCCCTTTATGAAGGCCACGGGAGAGTCCCTGACAAGCTCTAACAGCCACTTCTCCCTCAGTGCATCCCCCACGTGGCCTCAGACAGGGTTCAGAGAATCTGGTAGGTGGGATATGCTTGAGGACCTAAATCCTGACAGACTTTGCTAGGGGCTCCAGTCCATGTGTTCGAGCCTTCGGATGCTGTGAGGCAAGGAGTCAGTTTTTGCAGCTGTTCAGGGCACCACCAAAGCTGCTAGGACAAGCCTCCTTGGCCTTTAGAAACCTCCTGTTTTCCAAGCACTCATTCTTCTGTTCTTCCTAGCCCCAGAATGGCTTTCCTCAGACAGACCCATGTTCTCTGTTAGCAGGAAAGGAAGGAGGAAGGGAACACAATCCCACAGTGGTTGTGGTGAGCTGCTGGGCCCCTGTTCTGGTCACTGCACAGAGGACAACAAGAAGGAAGCTAGAACCCCCCAGGCAGGGATGAGGGTCTGAGGCTGGGTCTCTATGGCCTGCAGGTGTGTAAGATGGGGTATTGGTGTCATCACAGTACGGTCCCACCATCTCACAGAAGATTCGGTGACCATCCGTGGCTCAGATGGCCTAGGCCTAGACCTGCTTAGGATGCAGTTCACTCCAGTGGGCCTCTGTCTGTCCCTGTGGTCCCACACGGGGCCTGACACACAGGCTGCAGGCATCAGCCTGTTGGCCCCACAAAGGTCAGGCCCTCACCCTTTTCACCCAGCTCTGGGTTGGAGTGGAGCTCACAGGTCCCTCCTACGAGAAGAGCATTCGTGGTGCAGAGACGAGCCATGAGCCTTGGTGGCGACCTTCACTGTAGTCAGGAAGAGTGGAGAGCCTCCGTTAACACTCTGAAATCTCAGCCTGGAAGGAAGGGCGTCTGAGAAACAGACCTATGGCTGGAGTCCTGCTCGTACCCAGCACCCTTGGGCCTCCTCCCTAGCAAGGGGCCCTGAAACTCTCGTGACCCGGGAGACAGTAACCCCGCTAACCTCAAGAGAGAAGCATGAGTGTCTGTGGTGGCCGTGGTTTAACAGTTTGTGCCAGAAAGAAGGCCGCCCACGTGAGCCCCACTGCAAGTCACCGACTGCATGAGTGCACATGCCCTGCACACGGACAACACTGCATCCGTCCTCACTGGTCCCCAGCACCCAGCCCAGGGACCCTGCTCCTTCTGAACTAGCTGAGTGACCGTTGCCAGTTCCAGGGCTTCTCTGAGCCTCGATTTCTCTTCTGCACAATGAACATAATGCCAGGTCCCTGCCTCGCGTGTTGGTCTGGGCACCCTTTTGGTCAGATACTCTACAAACATTTGGTGGCCTGAACATGGACACCCAGGCATGGCCCCGGCCCTCGGCAAAGTCACAGTCAGTAAGGTAAACAGCGAGCACTCCAACACCTTGGGAGGACAGAAGCAGTAGTAGGGTGTTGAGGGTGCTGTGGGAGCCCCCAGGTGAAGCCTGGTCCAGCCTGGGGGTCACAAGAAGTGAAGTTGGAGCCTTGAAGAATGAGAAGGAGTTGAGAACAAGAGGAGACTCCAGGCGAAAGGGAAGCTAGAGGTAAAGAGCTGGAGGTGGGACAGAGCAGAGTCTGTGAGGTGACCTCCCAGGGTGCAGGACAGGCTGAGAGGTATAACAGCCAGCCAAGGTGCTCCTGGCTGAGGAGCGTGGACTTGTCCCCAGGGAAGGCACTGAAGCAGGAGACAGACATCATCTGATTTGAGTGTTAGAAAAATTGCTCTGACCACAGCGTCAGGAAATGATTGGAGGGGGTGAGACTGGATGCCTGCACACAGGCAGCAGGCTCTTGTTTGTCCAGTGAGAGATGTAGCTGCTTTCAGGATACCGGTGACAGGACTGGACACATCCCATTGGCCAAGGAGGGGTAGGCCAAGGTAGGGACAGGGCTGTTGACATGCTTTGTTCCTGCATCAATGATAACACAGTCCCCGCCCCTCCCAGGGATGACACCCCTGGTCCAGGCCCCACTTCAGCCCCCTGGGCTAGGATCTACAAATACAGGGTGTGTGTGCGTGTGTGTGCACATGTATTCTCTCCAGCCCACGCTGCCTCCAAGCTTGGCAAGTCATGCCTCAAACGATATACCTCCCCCCACACGCACAAAAGCCAGCTCTGTGCCAGTTTATTTTTTACTTAAGAGCATGTGGTGAGTGCTCTGCTTTTTGACCTAGAAAGTCATCCACAGTGTTTTGAGCAGCACAGTGTGTTGAACTGCCACTGCCCTTTCCATCCTGGAACCCTGGGTCCCACATGGGCTGCAGAGAGGGCCGTGCATAATACAGAGGGTGCTCAGCAGTTGTACATCTCATAAAAGACAGCTGTATTTTTTTTTAAAAAAGCAGGCTATGAACAACATGGCTAGTAAACATTTTAGTTGTAACTTTACCTCTGCGTGTGTGTGTGGAGAGAGAGAGAGAGAGAGAGGTTGCTCAAAATATTAACAGTGATTTTTACTTTTCTAAGTGGCTTGACTTTTTACCACAAGCTCTGCATCATTTTTATAATCAGAATAAAGCAAGGGGACAGCAACGGGGCCTCCTTGGAGCTCCCATTCCTGAGGAGAAAGCAACGCTTCCCCACATGGCCACCCTCCTCACAGCAGGTACCTGACAACATTGGGTGGGTGGGTGGATGGATGGATGTGTAATGAAGGAAACCACTGTGAAGGCATCTGCCTAGACTGTCCTCCTCCTGGGGTGGATGGGGCCTGGGACCTACTGGACCTGAGATTCTTGCAGCCCCGTTGGTAGTGCCAAGGCTGTGGAGCATGGTGTCGGGCCTGTCACAAGCCTTTGCCCTCACCCCTTCTTCTGGCTTCACTAAGACAAACGAAAGTGGCCTTCCACTTGGCCTCAGTATTCACTTAGATTTCCTTTTGTGTGTGTGTATTGATGTTTTTGGTTATTAGTGTCTTATTTGTTTTCAGAAAGCAAGCTGATTTCCCCATTTATTGATTTGGAGATGCACCATTTACCACGTGCTAAGACTTGTACAATCACCAGCGTCTGTTTTCGGCTCTCTGGTCTCCTGTGTACCTGGAGTCCACTCCTGTGTAGGGAAGGCTTGAAGGGGAGGGGGGGACCAAAATGCATGCTGGGGTTGCAATTCAAACTTTAGTCATTGCTACCTGTGCAGAGCCTCAGATCCTGCTGAGAGGGCAAAGGCCCCAAGGCAGTGGTTCTCCAGGGCTTCAGCATGACAGGAGGACTGGTAAAAAACAGCCTCGGCGTCAGCAGGTCTGGGGTAGGGTCCAAGGGCTGCATTTCTAACCAGCTCCCTGGTGATACTGCTGCTGCCCACCACCTCAGCCCACATTGTGAGAACCACTGGCCACCAAGAAAAGGGCACCCAGTGTCAGCCCTCAGGGTGAATGCAAACCTCCTCAGCTCCTGCCAACTTTAGCCTTGGGCTTTGCCTAAGATGTCGGTACTGTCCCTTTCATCTTTGATTTCCCAAGATGGCTAAGCTACCTCCATCCACAGTTAAGTGAGTTAGAACCATCCGGAGGGTGTTTAAGCATGTACAAGCAGAACAGCCTTGCTTGGTGGTCGTCGTTGGCAGGAAGGTGTCTGGTGTCACGAGGAAATCAGGACTCTAAAGCTGCTTCCAGCACTGAAGTACATCTTAAAGGGAGACGGCCCCAGGGAAGCAGCATCAGAACCGCCATTCCCAACAGGCACTTAGCCAAGTGAACTGGAGGCAAAGGAAACTCCTTTAAAAATGGTGGAAGTGAGTGTAAGCTGACATTTCCCAAGCCTTGCCAGCCTGTGGGGTCAAATGGGGTCACATTACCCCCCAAAATTTGCCTGAGAGCGGAGTTCTTTCTCCCTGCCAGGCCAGGCAAATGCCACTTCATGATATGGTTGTTGAGGACTCTCAGACAGGGAGCCTGGGGTGCCAATGTGTTACAGAGACTTTTCAGAAAAATGCCATTTCTGTGTTTACTTAGAGCCTGCTCTCTACCTAGACCCAACAGGATCCAGCTGCTGAGCTGGGAACATAGTTTTGGAACAGGATGGGCCAGCCTCCCCGGCCTGTGAGTTCATAGGCAGGAAAAGTATGGCTCCGGAGGTCAGAATGCTTGAGGTCAGAGGCTAGTTGGATCAATTTATTGTGTTACCTTGAATAAGTTACTTAACTCCTCTGTGCCTCAGAGAGATCATAATAGCATAACGCTATGGAATTGATTGTTACGAGGATTTAACACGATAATGCATGATCAGCATGTAGCCGTAGCATAGACACACTCTGTATTTGTTTGTTGCATATATTTGTGACTGGTGAATAAACTGGACGTAGTTCTCACTCAGTGGGTTCAGCCATTCCCATTCCTTTTATGAAATCTATCACTCAGCTATACAGCCATTATAAGCATCCAGATTCTGGGGTTCTGGAGATTGGCTGGCAACACCCCATAACATGCGAGATCTCAATCCATACTCTAGGAGCCCCTGGAAGATCGAGGGATGGACACGAGAAGGTGTATAAACCCCTAAATTATATGCACTAATTTTGTGTCTGCAGGTTTCTGGGAGAAGGACCGTGACTTTTATCAGAAAAGCAAAAGATAGCCTCAGCAGGCTCCCTGGACAGTGAAGCCACTTCCAGACACACGCAGGGTCTCTCCCAAACCAAGACACTGGGACAAAGATGGGAGCAGCTGAGCTCTGCATCTCCTTCTGGGAGAGATAGGCCTTCTTCAAAGTGAGGAGAAGACGCAACAATAAAACGGTGAGAGCAAATTAGGAAGTGTAACGCCCTAGGCAAAAATATGATGACAATTAGCTATAATAACAAGCTGCCTGCAATATTATCAGGGAGAAAAGCCCCATGGAAGAGTGCACAGACCTGCCCCTTCACAGACCAAGCCAGTAGAGTGCTCAGCGGGGCAGCTGGGACGGCCAAGAATTGGACATGAAGGGGCATGCGGAGTCCATAGTGCAGCGCCTAAAAAATGGACAAAGGAGCTGCAGATTAGGTGAGTCCAGGCTCTGTGGCTTATCAACCACAAGAGCCCTTCACTTCTCTTTGCCTCACTTCCTCATCTGAGAAATGGGATTCTGTGGGATAGCGGTGGCCACCTGAGCTGTCTCCCTCCTAGGGTGGCTGTGAAGAGCCATGAATGTAGGTAATGTGTCTAGTGTCTGCTTCAGCAGCTGCTGGGCCGAGGTGGCCTGGCACTTTCTCCCTGAGTGCACCTTTGTCTGATGGGGTACTTGCTTCAAGAACTTCACAGAGCATGACAAGCATAACCATCATCATGATTTTCATACTTCTTGCTGAGAGCAGGGCTACTGGGCAATGGTGAGTGGAATGGGACAAACACAAAGGGAAGATGGTCATTCCTCCTGGGAGGGTTAGGATTGGTGGTCGCCCCCTGTCCGGACACCCTCCTTAGTGAATTTCAAAGTTTCCCAAGGGAAGGACCACAACCCTTCCCCTCCGTGAGGCCCAGAGATGGGAAGGGGGCACCTCAGGCCACGGACAAAGGCCTTCCTGCCCTCAGAGGCAGGCTACCCTGATCCCCAGGCCCCACTCTGGGGTTGGCATCTCCAGTTTTTTAAAGTTGCTTATTTGCTGTGTGATCTTGGGCAAGTCACTTCCCCTCTCTGGGCCTCACCAATACAATGAATGATCCCATTTGCCCACCCACTCAGACATTCCAAAACTAGAACATGTTCAGAGCCATGTCCTTTTACATAATCAGAGCCGCGTTCCTTTAATTTGACAAAAATGCAAATGGCTCTGGTAGATGAGTCAGCAGTGCTCAACCCCAGGCCTGTACACCCACATGGCTTTGGGCGCGAGGGGCAAGTCCCACCCAGACCTACAGAATCAGAGTCTCTCTGGGCCTCTGGGTGGGCAGCACCTGAAGATTTTTAAGAGGCTGCCAAGAACAGGGCTCAGACTGTAGAAGGCAGAGGAGGGAAGAACCCAGACTCTCCCCACCCCAATACCTGACACAATGAGTCACAATGACAAATTGTTTATGACAAGAATGTGCCAAACAAACCAAGAGATAATCTCCACAGCAGTGGCCTCCAGGCCCTCCATCCTCATGGTCCTGGCTGCACTGGGTGTGGGAGCAGGACAAACCCCCAGCTGGTGCAGGGGAGACGGGGTCCTGGGGTGCAGGGTGTTTCAGAGATGGCAGGAAAGAGAAGACCTGTAGCCACCCCCAGGAAGGGTGGCCTCTGTGGGGCGACTGTCCTCTCCCCTCCCCACTGCACATTTGAGGGTAAGGCAGACTGGTTCCTGTATTAGAATGAGTAGGATGTCTGTAGGAGTTGCTAAATTAACTGAGCAAGATGGGAAAAACATGCAAGGCCACTCTTCCTACTGCCAGAAAAGGGAAGGAAATCACATGAGGGCACAAGCTGAAAGGGATCAAAGGCAGCATCCTTGCAACTAATGGCTTCAGGATAGAGAAAAGTCAAGGAGAACACGAATTGGATATAAAAAGAGCACAAGGAAGAGACCATTTAAAAATAACTCCAGGAAATGCAAAGAGAGCTTACAGAGGGGAAGATGTTCATTGAAGGCCAAAGCAGGACCATTGCACATCTAAAAACTGAGTTACAATGTGATGCACATCTGAAAAGCAAATTAATACACAGAGAGAAACTTGAAATAATCACAATGAATTCAGAGAAAAAGGACAAATACATTCAAACAAGAGAGAAGATGATCATCATGGAACCTAGACCTTCCAACACACGACGGAGTGGAGTCCCTGAAGTAGATTATCCAGTAGCTAAAGCAAAATTATATTTAGAGAAACTCCCTGGAATGCAGGAAGAACCGAGTGTATGGACTGAGAGGGCACAAGACATGATCAACATCAGGAACAGACCGAATCAGCTGAGCTACTGAAAACTCTTCAGGCTTCAGGAGGAAACACCAAGTCACAAGTCACCAACAAGGGGAGAAAAATCAATCTGACCTCAGATGTTTCCACAGCAACCGTCAATATCTGAAGACAAGGGAGCTGAGTTGTCAAAGTTGTATGGAAAAGGGGAAACCAAGACTATTCCACCCAACAAGCTTGTTCTAATTCATAGACAACATGGAGAGCGTCAGGGAAAAGGACGCCCATGAGGCTTTTTGAAAAAAAAAAATTACTCGTCAATGAAAACTAGCGAACCTTTAAAAAAGAGTCAATTTTTTTAAAGGTATAACCATGACTCATACAATATAAAATGAATACATGTCAACATTGCATTTAACTAGTTGAATAATTAGGGAACAAGTAGTATGTTCTAGAAGGTTCAAAGGAAACCTGGACCGGCACACACATACCTAGGCAGGTAAGGAATGCGAACGTGAGTGTCCATATATGTGCACAACTGATCAGTAGCTGCAGGGCAGCCATCAGTTGCATTCCACTGCACAAAGTGCACTTGGCATTTCTGTGGACAAGAATAATTTGCATTAACATGAGTTTTCTACATCTTAGATTTGCCCAAAGACCAAAAGCCACCATGAAAGGCATGGGTGCCTCAATACAAGACACCCAGTAGTCTGTTTTTTTTCTTTTGGTCCATTTTTAAGTTTTTCTGGTTTTTCCTGACAACGAACAAGAGATGACCCCAAATGCAAAACTCAGAGACAAAATGTGCTTAAAATATGCGATGGAATCTGTTTAAATACAGGACTAAGATAAAATTCTAGGAGAACTGTGGTTGCAAAACAGAGTAGAAGTGTTGTAAACCTTGACCAAGTGAACATAATTAGAATCAAAATCAGGAGATGGGGGAGGCGGGAGGGAGGATACTTAAGGGAAGTGGTCACCTGTTTCATCCCAAGAAATGATTGAGCCTGCCCCAAGTGAACCAATTCTTCTCCCCCAAGACTCCAATCTCTTAATGAGTTTCATAATCTTTTTTCTTAATGTTAGAGAAATTCATTATGAACTAATCTCTCTTGTGGAAAGTAAAAATTTATCCAAGAGTCAGCAATTTTTCAGGTTGTTTTTTTCCCCTGTTAAATTCAAGAAAAATCAAATACTTTTAGTTTAAAATATAGCAGATGTGGTACAACAATCTTTTAAAATTATTTAGACCTACTTACCTTTCTACCTGTGTATAGATGACATCCATCGAATGTTAACGCTGGATGGTAGGTTCATATTAAGCATCTACTCTATGCCAGGAAGGTCTAGGTACTAGGAAGACAGCAGAGAACAGAACAAGTAAAACTCCTGCAGCATTCCAATGGGAGTGGGGGGCTTATTGCTTCCTTCTTTGTACTTTTTATATCGCTTGTTTTGTTTTCTGTGAAAATGAGCATGTATCGTTTTTATAAAAATAGTGATCAACACACACACACACACACAATCTCTCTCTCTCTCTCTCTCTCTCTCTCTCTCTCTC